GTTTCATACTTTGCGTTTACGTTGTTGTAGATTTCTCCAAAATGACACGTGGAAGTACACTTTATAACTTGTGAAAACTGGTTGCACTCTAGAGCCCTGCTCACTGTTGTTTTGACAGACAACCAGGTACAATCTTAGGTACGCAAGGGAGCTTTATGACATTACTTCTGGTGCGCTTTTTCCTTTTTWKACCGCRCATGCRTASCTGCGCACYGGTTATGTGCACCTCTGGTCATATTCAAGATAGCCATCACAACTAATCAAAGTTGAACCAACACAAAAAGGTTTATATCTCTCAGTTGTACAGATATTGYGCTATAATTAGCTGAGAYTGWAGCTGAGAGTCATTCACAACACAAACTGAGCAGTTTGTCACAAGAAAAACACTTTATTTTTCAAGGTTTGATCAAAACAGTTTCAACTTTGTCGTATTTCAACATGAGATGATCTTGGTTTCAAAATACGGCATGCAGGCAATGAAAGATCAAAGAACACTAAGCCTGAAACTGAGACACATCTGACTCTCTTTGCTTTTTGTTTTCACTCTGCTGCAGTGTTTCAGCTGTGCGACCTGTAGAAACAGACTGATGCCCGGGGATCGCTTCCATTACATCAACGGCACAATCTTCTGTGAGCATGACCGGCCTGGTGCTGCCTTGCTCAGCAGCCACCTGGCTCCACTTCAGAGTAACTCTGTGCTCACAGACCAGAAGGTAAACAAATAGGTTTGTTGACATCATCTTACAGAACTGTGTGAAGCCAGACAACACATAAAATAAATATTAAACTTGTTGATGGCTATTACTAATGTTAATAAAATTAGATGTTCTGGAATTAAAAAAGGTGGGAATAAAATGTTAATAAAAAGAAAAAGAAGCAATTGCTTTTATCTGAACACTATATTCAAGTAAGCCTATTTGAAACAGTGTCTATTTACACATAAATGTAATCAACCTAACAAGGTAAATATTGTTAAAAAGGCTCTGTCTTCACCCTGTGCTGCAGCAGTCTTCAGGTTAATGTGCGGGTGCAGGTGATTTGGTTGTAGGATTTTGCATTTAAATTAGTTTCTACCAAACGAGTTTAATGAGTTCCATTGGGTGTGAACCCAAACAAACCAGAGTTTTAACTGAAGCTTAAACAAGAAGGAAGCAGTCACAAACAAAAGTGTGATTTTCTCTTTCTTTTGTAATCTTAAAAACACAAAGCTGTAAGTTGTTGCCGCTGTGTGTTGCAGTCAAGAGATAAGTAGGGGTGTACAGGGTGCTGCAGCACTTCCTGATGGATTCCAGAAAAAATTAAATAGTTAACAAAAATCTGGTATGTAAAGCAGCTCATGTAGGCAGTTTTTCACTGGGATGCTGCTGTTAGGAGACAAGACTCAACAYTGTGAGGAAAATAGGTGGGTTTTAAGCTGCAGGTATCACTGAACTCTGTTTGCGACAAAGTGAACTGCATTTTGGGGCAGCCAKCTTTTAAAAGTCACAGCATGTTTTTGTGGCTTGCAAAGCTGCATTCTTGGCCACGCACATTATTTTGTTGCACCTTCATCTGGTTTTGTTCCTACCCTGACAGCCGAGTATACTTCAGCAGTGAAGATGACGCCCATGGAAACTTTGTGACTAATCTGAGAGAAAAAATTGTTGGTTAGGACAGTTGTCCTCCAATGAGAGAGTTGGCAGTTCGATTCTCTGCTATTCAGTCACATGTTGAAGTGTCCCGACACTGAAGACACTGTCTCTGATGTCTGTCCCATCAGTGTCTGAATGTGATTTAAAGCACTGATTAGTTTCTATAGGATGATTTATCTGGATTTGCTTTGTTGAGAGACTTTAGTCCGCTTTAATCCAACTCTAGTTTGTTTGCCTGGAAAGTCTGGTTCATTTGGGGAGGTGTGAACGCATAATTGAACTCTGATTCAGACCAGAAAAGTGAACTCTGGTCCACCTGAAAAACCTAGGTCTCAGTTCGGTTGAAGCAAACTCTGGTGTGGTTCAACTGCCTGTGTGAGCACCAAGAGGACCAGAGACCACTCCAAAAACAGGAAGTGGATTACAACACAGGTCATTCTGTGTAACAGTAATAAAGTTACTCATAATGTAAATACCTCACTGCACGTCTGTAAAAGGTGAACATCACTGCTGTGAAGTTAGATGTTCTCCTTCTCGATGAACGCTGCCTCACATGGAGCTGTGTCAGCCGCTTTGTGTGGAAAACAATATTCTCTACGTCAGTGGTTTTCAAACTTTTTATCTTCTGACCCACAAACTATCCATGGCAAACACTTGTGACCCCAAATATTACTGGTCTGAGTACACAAGCTTCGTTAATAACCCTAAAAACACAGGCTTTTTGACAATCTAACAGCTTGTACACAAATATAAATACTTATTTGTACTTATTTTGTGTTTTTATAATAATTATAGGGAAAATATTACATCAACAATTATTTTACTACCCTTTAAATTGATTTCTGGAGATTATCCAAGGTGCTTCACGACCCATAATTGGGTCCCAAGCCCAACTTTGGGAACCACTGCTCTACGTTACGCCTCATCTTCCTCTCATGCTGAGCTCATTGTTAGAGTGTTTGTTTGACGTTTGCCAAACACACAAAATACATCCTACAACCACAAAAATCTGACATGACTCCATGTTTGTTTACATTTTGTGAAGGAAGTTGCGCTCAGTGTCTTCTTCTGATGTTTTCCTGTTGATTCCTTCAGTGGTTGTTGGTGCAGCGCCCCCACAGGTGAGAGGGTGAACAGGTTGTTCACAGGGTTTAGTTTGTTTGCCACAGTGCAGTGTGAACCGCGCCAACTGAAAATGTAAACAAATCTTGCAATTTTGGTCCCCAATCGATGAGTAACCTCATTGGATAGAAAGATGCTTTATAAGTACATTCCATTCACCAAGTAATTGCGCATGTTTGTGCACAAAATTTCACAACCTTAAAGTGCCTGTGACATTAAATTTTTGTGATAAATGTGATTGCACTTTTGAAAAGATAACATAGATAACATATTGCAAAAGCAATTTCACACCACTGAGATGAACATTTGTTGTGATAGTTGCATGTGAAGTAACAGGAAGTGATGTCAAAGGGGAATGTCTGCATGTGAACAGAGCGTTGCTACAACAGCTAACAACACAGACAGAAGGGAATTTTCTGTTTGTTTAGATAATTTTAGTCCCTATAAGAGAGAGATGAAGAATATTGTTTTAATAAACAAAGRCAGGGGAGTTTTCCTTCTTAAAGAGTTCCTCTTTGATGTCACTTCCTGTTTCACTTTAGCTGAGCCAAATTCAAAGGAAAATATGCCAGTTATGTGAAAAAATGGGTTAAATCATGTTTTATGCCAGTTTTCCTAAATATGAAGATATTTTCTTTGACCTTTTGAAGGACAGACATRTCACAGRCACTTTAAAGCACAGCTGCTTTATCGTATCTTTATGTCAAAATCAGTTTGATGTTAGAAGTGACATTATTTTGCTAACTTTAATAATATCTGAATGCTAAAGAGTGTAACTGTGTAAAATCATTTACAGTGCAATTACTGAAAGTTTACTTATTTTATCAATTTTCTTTTAGTACAGATGATAGGTGTGTTGAACTKGTTCTTGTTTTTTATAATCATGTTTTTACGTCAAAGACAATGAGCATTATGGCATGTTTTAAATTTCATAGACAGGGCAAAAAACACTTTTAATGTCTCTATATAGATAACCTGTCCTGCCAGTGTGCACTTGTTTTAATGTCATACAAACTGTTTCTTTTCTCCTGTCCTGTCTGCAGGTATGCTGAGCTGTCCTGCACCACACACCCTTTGACCATCACGTCTTCTCCCGATGAGGATCCAGATGTTCCAACCATGTCGGAAACTATGTTCTGCAAAATCCTGTTTTTGTTGATAAAGCTGTCTTTGTGTGATGTAAAGACTAAAGATTATGTGGACTGGTATAGSTAAAGACCCCCTCAGAACTGATTAAAGCTGAGACAGGTGGCAGGTAAACTTGCATCAACTTCCATGAGGAGCAAAAAAAGAAAAAAGTCATGAATATTTGAAGGACTGCTATGAAATGACACCAGGCAGCGTTTGTGTTTTTCTGCTTGTGGTTTTATTCAACCCCTGATATTTTCCTTGTATATAATGATTATGAGATCCAATCACTGAGAATTACATCAAGTGTTTATGAGTGTCAGACAAAATACCTGAAACTCATCAGTCACAGAAAAACTCTTTGATGAGTTTAAAAAAACCAGGATCAGAACCCATCGGTGTGCAGCTCATCATCCACGCCTGCTGGTTCGTCACATGCTCTGCTCAAAGGAGTGAAACAATCTGGTAATGGATCTGCTAGTTTCCTTTCAGTTTTCTTTCTCTCAGACGCCTGCTCGGTGGGTTTGGGATGGGGGCAGGGGGTGTTATGAAAACAAAACCTCCTATTAAAGCAGTTTTTCTGTAGCATGTCACAGAGCAACCTGAGGTCACTGCAGCATTAGAGTGGTAATGGTACCTAGCATGGCGAGTGTTCCAGTCCTCTCTCACTCTCTTTAGCCCTGTATGGTAAAAACATGGCTAATTACCCCAAGGAATGGAATTAGGGGGCTTGAGCTCTGTCCATTTACAGAAGCAATTAAATACGAGCCCTGTATCTGTGCTGCCGGAGCTCCTGGGAGCCTGAACTTGGGGCATATCCTGTGGCTGGCTGCCTCCAATAAAGCCTAATCTGAAAGCAGTCTAATTAAAGGGGAGTGCCCCCTCCCCTCCACATACAGGGCGTTTGAAACAATCTGATGTATTTACTGTTTACTATGTTCCAATTAAACCTCCCACTCAACCCGGTTTGTTTTCCATCACAACTCCTTTGTTCTTTTGCTCGGCTTCTGGAAATGGTTTCTTTTTTTTTTCTAAAGTGTGCCTTTTTTAACTCTACGTGGAAACTTTCAAGCCTCAGCATACCATCGGAGGTTGGGAGTTAATCTTTGTGGAGTGAGGTTGTGTGTAGGAAGCAGACGATAGCATCTGCTCTACTTCGCACCTAGCCTGCACGCGTGGCTGCCGTCAAACCCTCACCTTAATGCGCTTAGCTGTTTCAAAAACGTCCCACTTGTCATGGTCTGCGCTGATACTGCATCAATTATTTATTCCACGTCTGATCAAAAAGCGTCACACAAATTCATTAACGTATGCAAATGATCACAATTACAATTATCTTTGTATCGTGATGGTGAAGAAATAAAACCCAGGCACACTCCTGAGTCCCACCGCTCCACAAGTTACACTTTGCATTCAAACTAATCAAGCTTCATCTGCCTCCTCCTAATTAGCCAGAACATTTTCAGATGCCAATTAGCAGGTCTCATGAAAAAGCTCTTTGCCACAAGGCGTTGTCTTTTATCAGAGCTTCTGCAGGTGTGTGGCTCACCATGTAGCCCGTGTCATAGAAAAGGGTTTATTCCTGCTAATTAATCATATTAACACATGCAGATGAGTGTAATTGCCTCAGCTTCTCCACCTCACACTGTGTGAAGACACAAGAAGATGCTAGAGTATGTTTTTACTTGCTTATTATAGAGGCAAAGCAGATCGACAGAACCTTGTACTTGTCTAGACAGCCCAGTGATGCAGATCCAAGATGGCAGCCAACCTTATATGTTGGCGTCACCACGTCAGTGTAGACAGTTTGAGTATGTTCTACCTTGGTTAACAGCCTTTCCTTTATGCAGAAATATTTTATATTAATGCCAAAAMCACAAAAGTTTGGTGTTTTCGTTTAGCTGCATGTCAAACATCTCCAGCTGCTGTTAGCATTGTAGCCTGCGTAGCCACTGTTGTCATCAGAAGTCATGAAACTGCAAGTGTGGTCATACTGCTCTTCAGTATGTGAGACTCACATGTCACATTTTCATGTGGAAAAAACTCCTTAAACTTTTCCATGCTAACAAAAACCACAACAAAGTAACATCATTAGCATCATTAGCTGCTTGGCCTTGGCCACAAATCTGTAGGATTTTGTTCTCCTTTGTGATTTGGTGGTAAGAAAGACAATGTCATATGAAGCTAYATATACATGACAGAATGCTTATGCTGATAGTTAGTGATAAATCACTTCAGGTGTCACGACAGTGCAACTTGGAGAGTTTAATATTTACACCAGTGACCTTTGACCTTTTGTGTTCACAATATTATAGTTAATGTTCCACTGGTTTCTGCTGACATTTGGGGATTAAATTTGTTTCTGTATCAAACTGATTAAGTTGGAGTTTCGGTCACTTTAGTGTCGGTGCTTGTCAATACTCATTCTCTACTCCAACCAGAAATAATAAAGTACAATGTTTGTTGTCTGAGGATTTCTCTCAGAAAAAGTTTAATACTAGAACAACAGTGGAAATCATCTGTAAAAACCTTGCTGGTGAATTAAGGCACAGGTACCCTGGAAACTGCTTGTTTATACAGAATGTAAATTTTACATAGTGTGACTTTGTATTAAGTGTTGTTATATACAGTATGTTGTCCACTTGACTTGTGTCCGTTCACCAAACATCTGATAAACCAATGAACAATTTTCAATAAAACTTTCAGAAATTATTGTTTTGATATGTATCTACAATAGACCTATTGAACTTTTTTTTWGATTTTTCTAAACACAAAAAATACAAAATTTTTGTCCATTTTCATAAATAGGGTGATAAAAGTCATCATGTAAGTAGCTGACAATCATCTACAACACATACTTCAAGTGCTACTTATTTTTCAGGTTGCAGATGATGCCATATCAACATCAGAAAGTAAATGAAGCTAAATTCTGTGCCGTGTTGTAGCAGCCGCGCTAATCTAGAGAAATATAAGAAGTTTTTTTTCCATGTTYCTAAAGTAGTGTGTCACAAGGTAGTTAATTTTAAAAATGTACAGAAAAACTATGACAAAAGTGGWCCAACAATCTAYGGCTAAAAACAGGAGGTGCGGGAACGGATGACAGAGTTTGCAGCGACCACTTTCTAACAGGTAAGGATYRTATCRTTTAAATCATATTTTCAGATATTTTCCTGTRCAGTTACTTGAATTTGGGTTTACAGAAGCCAAATAAATTATTTACAAGTAGATYCAAGYGCATGGAAATAATGGGTTAWCTCTTTTTTGGCGTTAGTGATAGCATTGTTATCATTGACTAATAACTTATAATAGCGCAACTCACCCCTCACCTGGGCAGAAACAAGTTGACAGACATTTAAAGTTTCTTTGGATCCTAAATGTTTGACCCAACCTGAAACTAAATAATTGTWGCTTYGAGGCTTTTGAAAGCTTTTATCTGGCTYRTCATATAATACGAGGTCTGCAGTTTATGTCAATCGCCTCGACACCGATAAATCCTCCAGATTATAAAACAAGTCTTTTTTATTAAGACAATATAGATCAGACCCTAAATATACACATATGTTTTTGCAATATCTCGTCTGCACCAGCCCATTTAGGGCATTAGCRTTCTTGCTGTGACCCATTTCACTGTGTTTTGAACCAGAGCAAATCACTTCCTGCCCCTCATCTGACATTCTCGCCTCATCCGGGTCACGTGACTGTAAACCCAGCAGTTGTGCAAGGTCTTTGTTTAAAACATCATAATTAACTGTTAAATACAGCTCTGTCTGTTAGCAAAATGTGAAACAATTAATTTTCAAAAATTAATCAATGGATAGACATCTAGAACTGATTAACTTTTGGAATCAGTCCAAATCAAGAKGTACACCACAGCTAAGTGACGTTAGATCACACAAAAACGAATRTAACTCAGTCAAATTTACAGATACTGAGCTAAAAGTTTATGTGTTAGTAGCTGAGAATAATCCGCAAAGCATACTCTACGCGTGGCATCTTTGGGCAGCATGGAGGATAGCATCACTATTGCCTCACAACAAGAAGGCCCTGTTCTTACGTTTGCATGGGTTTTCTTCRCATATTCCAGTTTGCTCCTGYAGTCYAAARTCATSCATGTTAAGSTGCCTTCAGGCCCAGGCCTCCTTTACRGAAAAAAATATGTTATATATCAGTGGGATTTGCCTGAAAGAGGGTAAAGAAACTATCCAAATATTATTTTCAAGGTTTGACCAAAAAGCTACAAATCATTTCTCATCGTGAGATAATTTTAGTCTAAAATCGAGATGAAAGGCAGCTGGCCATAAGCAATCCTGCAAGTAACGYTAGACCTTTAATCTTGTAAAGTAATTTGTGTAAAATAAGCCAACGTGCTAACATTAAATGATGCTAGCAGCAGAGGTATGGTTTATGTGGGAGTTTTTTGCTTCAGAATGCTGGTAGACCGGTCCTCGCCCTGAAGGCACGGAAACCAACATAAATACGTTTGCTGTAAAACTGCCATCTGGTTGTCACCATTTTCAAATTCCAAGCATGTAAACTCAACAGTGGCGTGCTGAAAGATGTTAGCTGTGTCGACAGCTCCTCAGAAAACTGCTCAAGCTGCCACAGCTATTTCTGTAGCTTCCAATCCCAAAGCACCTCACGACTGTGTCGAAGTAGCTACAGCTACTTCCAGCTCACACCTAATTTGTCATACCCACAGTGTGCTAAATGTTCTGATTATTTCAGAATCCTCTTTGAAGTTGCTCAGGGCTCCGCTGCATACCCTGCATTGTACGAGAGCGAAACACGAGCTGGTGCTTGAGCATGAAGGAAGTGAGGCATGTTGCAGCCATAATTCACAGCCTTCATCAGGGGAGCAGGGGAGCAAYGATGACAAAGAAAACGACTTTACAACTCTGAGCCTCATTCAGGAATGTCAGGGAGTAGAGAGGGAGAAAAAAAATTCTCCCGGCCAATCGGATTGCTTTGAATAATTAAAGTGATCRGCTTAATTAGCTCAATTACGTTAATTTGACCACGGAACATGGCCATATGGTGAAAGGAAACAAAAGAGGGGGGAACTAATTAAAAGTAAAATAATGAGGATTTTAATTAACTGGCTCCCCAGACAGCAGAGCGCAGGGATCAGGAGCCTGCTACCATAATTAAAGTGCTGTAACGCTGGCAACATCTCTCCTCTCTTTCTTATATCTGTGAGGGCTCTATCCATCTAATTAAATCTGTAAATAAATTAGCAACATTGAGGGTTCCTGCTTGACTTAACAGTGCCTACATCCCCCCCACTACCACCACCACAACCTTCCCAATATCATGCTCACCTTCCTTTCAGTGCACAGTGCCATCCACATGTAAGCAAAAGCTGATCTAAGGTGTGTGTGTGTGTGTGTGTGTGTGTGTGTGTGTG